ATAGGATGGTATCTTCGGGACCAAGATGACAAGGGTCAATGAGGAATGAGGCATCAACAAGCTGAAAATAGCTCTGAAACAGACACTGAGAAATGATTATAACCCCCGAAAACTCTGGCAACTCTGCGTCCTTTGTGGGTCTGCTCCTGTAAATACCTGAATCTTTTCCTTGTGGTAGTATAAACGTTCCTAGGACTGGATGTGATTTAGAATTGTTTTGTAGGAACAGCAAAACTGCTGGCCTCTCCATATGTGTATATACATAAAATAACATGGTCCTCCTGAAAATCTATTGCATAGGACAAAGGGAGAATGCAAGCCTGTGAATGAAATGTCAGGAGTGGACTTCCAACTTCAGCCTGCTGCAGGGAGGACAGTCAGGAAATAGAGTTCCGCCTCTTTGGGTATACTAAGGCAGCCCTAGCCTCCTTTTTCTGAGACTGTTTCACATATAAAACAGGATGGACCGTGTGACCCACTCCGGTCCCAAAGATGCCTTGCTCCACTCTGTACCATGGAGTAAACTGATTGCAAGTGATTTTAGAGAAGGGGGGGGGTGGATGGACAGCTATAACCAAGCCCACCAGCTTCGTGTTTGCTGCTCCTTAGTGAAAAACAGGCGACTGAAAACTGAGTCAAGCAGAGTTGTCCAAACAGAGAAAGTCACAGATTTAGCAGGCCCATTCCTTTTGCTTCTGTCTAGGCCTGAAGCACCCTCCCCACACACCCCCAGGATTTGAGCACCCAGATGTGCAACGTACAAAGGCATTGATCTCATGAACAATCACTACTGTAATCACTTTCAGCATCCATCTCCAGTCTCAATTTTATATTTTCTGTTGCCACCAAATTGCCCCTCATCCCTGTGCCTCAGGATGAGAAGTCTGAGATTCCTTGGCTGCAGTTTGGAACCATCAGAAGCTTTTAAAAAAATATTGGACATGAGACTCTGTCTCAAAACACACACACGTACACACGCATGCACACACACATGATGATTTTCTGGCCCTGGCACACACACACACACACACACACACACACACACTGATGTTCTGGCTCTGGCACACACCACACTGATATCTCTCTCACACACACACGCATGCACGCACACACACATGCTGATGTTCTGGCCCTGACATGCACGCACATACACACTGGTGTTCTGGACCTGGTGCGCACACATATGCGCACATACACACACTGACTGATATTGATATTCTGGCCCTGACACAGGGCCTGGGGTGGGGCCTGGACTTTGGAGGATTTTAAAACCTCCTCTGAGCATTTCTTCCATTTGGCCAGAACCAAGCCCCAGTGCTGGATTTCCTGCTGGACTTGGTAGAAGAAGTGAATTTTTATGATCGGTGCTCTGTGGGAGATGTGATTGCTGACCCCATCGAATATAGCTAGGCCCAAAGCTGGCCTGATGAGGACAATTTGTTTTTGATGTGTCTTTTTCTTAGGGCCCAGCCCTCCTGCAGCTGCTCCAGTAAGAGAATCCTAGCCACAGCGTAAATGGTATATAATAGTTTAATGTACTGCCTTAATGTGCAGCCGCCATGGACCTTTGGAGTTTAATACAAAGGAATTCCTGATTGAAGGACTCACAAGCTTTATGGCAAGGCCCATGGGAAAGATCATTTAAAGTGCTCCCAACCTGACAGAGCCTCAGTCTTCATCTCAGTAAATGACAACCCTGCTCTTCCTGTGGACTTCTCTCTTTCTCACTTCCCATATCTAACCCATCAATGTATAATCTCGGTTCAGTCTTCAAAATGCGTCCAATATGTACCCACTTTGATCATTTCATTCCCATCTTCCTAACCCATGCCAGCATTACATTTTAAGTCTCTCTCTGCAATCACAAATAACTGCATTTAACCACACATAACTGGTCTTCCCATTAGCCTCCTACACTCCATTTTTCTCACAGCAGCCAGAGGCATACACATACATCACACCCCTTCTTCAAACTCACCGGTGGAATGAAATCCAGAGTTCTCACCATGACTTACAAGGCCCTGCATGACTCAGCTTTCAGCTGCCTATTGGGGCACACTCCCTCTGGTCCTCATTCTAGCACTGTATTCCTATCCACCTCAATCCTATGCCTGCCTCAGAAGCCTTTCTCTCCGAATAGCCTCATCGCAATCTCTGCCTTGTTTCCCTTAGGTCTCTGATACATGTCACCTTCCCAGATAATGTCTTCCCTAACCAGAATATGTAAAATGCTTTCCCTCCCCTTGAAAGTGTTTGTGTATGTGTACATGTGTGTTTGTATCCAATACATGTGTCCCCAAATGAATAGAAAGCAATGTCTTGAGGAGATACTCATACCCATGTTCCCTAGAGAACTGTTCACAATCTTCAAGATATGGGATCAATCTAAGTGTCCGCAGACAGAATAGGCAAGGAAGTTGTGGTACATCTATATGACAGAATATTATTCTGATTTAAAGAAAGGAAACTGTCTGAAGGCCCTGGGTTCAGTCTTTCAGCATTGCAAGGAGAATCAAAAGCGAATTCTGTCATTTCTTACATGGATGAACATGGAGGACATTGTGTTCCATGAAATAAGCCAGGCACAGAAAGACAAAGACCTGATGATCTCATTGATATCTGAAATCCAAAAATAGGAGAACTACAGAAGCAGAGTAGAACAGTGGTTACTAAGAGCTGGGAGCAAGAGGGGGGAGAGAGTATGGGGAGATGCTGTTCAGAGTACAATGTAGAGAACATTCATTATTTTAGATCTAGTGCAAAGTTAAGAATAATGCATGCAAAGTTAAGAATAATGCAATTTCAGGTCTCAAAACTGCTGAAATAACAAGCCCGCTGTACCCATCCTTGCCATTCGCCTGTGTAGTCCTCTATGCCCTGCTTTATTGTTTTCTTACAGTAGTACCTCCTTATCTGCAAGGATATTCCTAGGCCCCAAGTGTGTGCCTATAACATGCACAGTACAGAACCATATATCCTTTCCATATAGAGAGAATAAGATTTGATTTATAAATTAGGCATAGTAAAAGATTAACAACAGTCACATTATAAAATAAAACAATTAAGAGACAAGTATGGCATATACCTTTAATCCTAGCACTCGGGAGGCAGAGGCAGGTGCATCTCTGTGAGTTCAAGGACAGCCAGGGCTACCAGAGAGACTGTCTCAAAAAAATGGGAGAGGGGAGAAAGAGAGAGAACAATTATGACAATGTACTGTAATAAATTTTATTTAAAATGTGTTAATTGTTTGCTTCTGGAATTTTCCATGTTATACTTTTGAACTGAAGTTAATAATCAGTCACTGAAACTACAGGTGAAACTGGAAGCTGGGCATAATGGCACATGCCTACAATTCCAGAACTCGGGTAGTGGGGTTAGGTCATCCTTGGCTACGTAGTGAGTTCAAGGCCTGTCTGGGTTACATGATACCCTGTATCAAAAGAAAAAAAAACCATAAAATTGCAGAAAGGAGAACTAGAGCAGTTATGTGCTACATAAAAGATATCTATTAGCTAGACATAGTGCTACACATTTGCAGTCCTAGCACTTAGGATGTGAAGACAAGAGTATCACAAGTTCAAAGCCAGCCTGGAATGTATAATGATAGCCTATCTTTAAAAAAAAAATGTAATTGCCTCTGTTCCTGATAGAATAGTTGCACCATAAGACCATCAGGCCATGGAATTTGGTCAGTCATACTTACTCCTGTATCCCCCATCACCTAGAACATTGCCAAGCAAATGATAATGCCCCTAAATTAACCAAATAAATAAATAAGTAAATACCTCTAAAGAATGCCCTTCAGTGTGATTCTTGTATTTCCTGGTTGCTAGGCTGCCTGAAACTCCACCGAAAACTAGAATCTGAAGAACACTTCCTTCGGTCTTTGCAGGGGATTGGGTTCAGGACATCCCCATAGATACCTAAATCCATGGATGTGCAAGTCCTTTTGGAACCTACCCATATCATCTAATATACTTCAAATCATCTCTAGATGACTTAAGATTCTGAATACACAGTAAATACTATGTAAATAGTTGTTACACTGGGTTGTTTGGGAAATGAAGGCAAGAGAAAATATCTGTACGTGCTCAGTACAGAGGGTTTGGTATTGTTGTTGTTTCATGTATTTTTAATCAGTGCCTGGTTGAGATGCAAGGATGCGAAGCTGTGGGTAACAAGGGCTGACTGTGCTTTACAGTGTGTGTTAATCATGCTTCCTGCTGAAATTTTGGGAAAGTTTTCAAGAGTAAGAGAGCCTGGCTGGTTCTTTGGGCATTTCTGTAGAACTGTGTAAACAAAGTGATACAGCATTGAGAAGCAGGAAGCCAGGGGCACTGAGCTAGAGCGCCCCATCTCTCTTCCCGAAGAGTTCAGGAAGTGTGGATGAGTCATTTCGGAGGGCTGGGTTTCTTCTCTCGCAGATCTCAAAACTGTTTGTGAAAAGTTTCCTTTCTAGGAGCGTATCTGTGAGATGAATAAGATTGTTTCTGTAAATCCTCTGGGAAGTGTGTATTCACACACAATAAAGTCTACCATTAAAGTCAATCTCATATTAAGAAAACCAAATATGTAAAAATTCAATGTATATGATTACTGGAGGTTTTTTTTTTGCAAACCTCCTTAGGCTTAGAGCATTCATAATGGGATTCAGCTTATCCAAATTCAATTCATGCCCAGCTTTTATCCAACACACCAATCATTCAGGGAGACAATTAGCACATTGCCTCATAGCACATTACCTTCCACTTAATAGGTAATCAATACTTAGCTATTGACTCATGGATCAGTATGGCAAAATATCTCTGTACTTGGACAGTTTATTTTTGAGACAGTGTATCACAATGGTAGTCCAGGTTGGTCTCAAGCTCATGGTCCGAGCTGCCTGAGTTCTTGGGATAGCGGGTATATACGACCACACTTGGTTGCACCGAGACATCTTAACTCTAACATTACAAAGGAATGAAGACCTCACCAGTCTTTTGTTCTTTTTCCAGTCTCCCAAATCTGCCTTCATCAGTGCTGCAAAGAAGGCCAAGCTGAGGTCCAATCCTGCACAGGTCCGATTTTCTGAGCAGGTGGCAGTTGGAGAAACAGATGCAGTAAGTACAGCCTTGGCTTCCCTCCTCTCTCCTTGGCCAGAATCAACCTGGCTATTGAGGTCTCAATCAGGCCTTCTGGCAGTGGGCGCCCAGGGGTTGGAGCAGAAGGATCGCTGTGCTCTGAACGAGCGGGTACTGAAGAGAGAGGAGTGTGTAGCATCCAGAGAGGATAGGGAGGGAGGGAAAACAACATATTGATTCACTCTGGATCTTCATGGTGCTTAGAGAAATTTCCGTCCAGAGCACAAGAGCGTACACTCAGGGCAAGTGTTCCATAAACATCTTTTGGCTGCTTGATAGAAGCAGGGAGGAAGTGATGGTTTTGTGAAGACCCAGAGAACAAGTGGCTGGTGAAATTGAACTCTCTTCACATTTAAGTGGCCCTGCAATTCCACATCTTGACTGGAGATGACTGTGCTGATGGGTAGCCGCCTACCAGAAATGACAGACTCTCCTTAAGTCGCCAAAGTTTTCCTAAGCACCAGAAGGGATCCAAAAGGAATACCTGCTCCCTGCCACTGGCTACCTTCTGGGGGGTGGGGTAGGCCCAAGAGGTACAAACTGAGACTATATAAATTCTCATGCTGTGTGCTATCATCTCAAATAGCAGCTAAGGTGGGCCAGCCCACGGGTTTCTTGTCTTTTTGTGGGTTGTGCATGCAGTGAGCCATCCACCCCAGACGTGCATATGAAAATAAAAGGTAGGCAGAGAGCAGAAGGCAGTGTGTACAGCAGGTACAGAGTCCCCCAGAAATCTGTAGAAGTTGGTGATGTCCCAGAGGGAGGAGAGCAGTTGCAGCTAGCAAGCACTGGGGTGCTTTTGTAGGCAGTGGTGAGATGGGCTGTCCGGAAGCCTGATCATGTATGCACTAAGACACAGCTGCAGATGTTGAGAGACATAACAGCAGTCCCAGAATGAGCAGAAAAAAGAGCAGGATGCTGGGCTTTTGTGTAGTTCTTAGAGGTAGCCCCACCCGGAAGAAAGATGCGGGGGCATGAGTATCATCCATCTTCTCTTCCCCCTGCCTCTCTTCTGCAAACCCAGCCCACAACGTCCTGTATTCCTGTGTGAGGAAGACTTGGACAATCAGAAGATGGTCTAGTTAACACTCAGGATCCATGTTAATCCCAAGAAAAATGGCTAAAGAGAATGTGAGGATTGATGATTGGCATGGAGAGGGAACAGGATGGAGCCGTGTAGGTCAGAGTGAAACAGACTGCAAGGTCCAAGTCACTGATGAGACATTGGTGTCCTGAACTGTTGACAATTCTGAGGGCATAAGCATTGAGTTTGCAAATATGGACGGATACAGCCCATCCCACCTCAAAACTCCAGTGAAGGCCGGGCAGTCAGTGAAAAACTCCTGCTCTCCTCTTCCTCTTCTCTCCCTTTCTTCCTTCCATTCTCCAACTTCCATGCCTCGCAGCTAGGCCACAGGCAGAATGAAGAGCCGCGTCTAGTTCAACCGTCCTAATACCTCCGCCTGCAACAGGGCAGCTAGAACTTATCCAGAGTTTACTTCCCTCTCAGACAGGCACCAAGCTTGGCTTGAGACTGTCCAGGAGAGAAAACACATCTGTCTTCCAGCCCCCATGGTTGCTGTCTGTGTGCACCATAGCTGTCTGTTGAGACCTGGGGAGTCCAGGCCCAGGTGACTCCAGGCTGCCCCATCATCCCCTTCCCCTTGTGTTCCAAGGCTTTATTAAGCAGCCGGAACAAAAATAAATCCTGTGGGCGTTCCTTGCCAACTCTATTTTTAAGTAAAATCAATTAAGTAATTATCTAAGTCCAACCCAGTGTGCTAAATAAAACTCGCCACCGCTGAGCGTCATCAGCCTGGGGAGCCGGGCCTCTGGGCCTGGCAGGAATGGGGCCTTTCGGAATCAGAGAGGCCTGGACATCATCATCACACGTTTCCAAATTGATACCCATGGCTTTCCTCCTTGGTTTGACCCCCTCCAAACTTGCCTCCTGGCTCCCCATCACTGTCAGCTACACCCAAGCTCAGGAGGCCTTGCTTATTTGATACTTTGTCCACAACAGCGGACGGATCTGAACTGTTGTACCCAGGCTTCTCTGATAATCCATACCAACTATCTCATTCAAAACTCAGAACCCAATTAGCCTTACATAGAAGCTTCACCTGCCTTATACTAGCTAGTTTGTTTGAGGTTCATAACATCCAGACACTTCACGTCAGGGGATGACAGGAAGAATGCCTGTGTTCGTTCTCTCTCTCTCTCTCTCTCTCTCTCTCTCTCTCTCTCTCTCTCTCTTTCTCTCTCTCTCTCTTCTCTCTTTGAAACAGAGTCTCACTGTATAGCCTGGGTTGTCCTGGAACTCCCTATGTAGACCAGGCTGATCTCCAACTCATAGCGATCTACCAGCCTGTACCTCTCAATCACTTTACCATCTTGGGACCTCTACTTTTGCTATAGCTCCCTGGGTGCTCAGTATCAGCTGAGTGTGCAATGGAGGCTCTGTGGCTATTATTTAGTTAAAGAACCTAGCCATCTATACACTACAAGTACCCGTAGAATGGATGCTGCTGGTCCATGCTGTGTTTATCCTCCTGGTGAATCTAATCATTCAAGTAAGCACATAGCAAGGACCCATCGTTCATTCATTTAGCAGTCACTTCTCCAACACCAACTATATGCCAGGCATGCTATTCATTGTTGGCGCCACAAAGATGACTAGATGTGGTCTCTGTGCTCTGAGTTTATTGTTTGATTGTAAATGACAAGTGTTCTTTAAATGGTGATGTGTGTCTGTAGTCCTAGTACTCAGAGGTTTAAAAAAAAGGAACCAGCCTAGGCTATATAGCCAGTTAGTCTGGGCTGTATAACAAGACCCTGTCTCAAGATAAATAAATGATTATCATGCATGGTATCTCATGCGTGTAATTTTAGCACTTTGGAGTTAGAAAAAGGAGAGCTGTGAGTTTGAGACCAGTCTAGACAACATAGGAAGACCTTGTCACAAAAGGGCTGTGTGTGAGTGAGTGTGTATGTGTGTACATATGTTTGTGTCACTGAGAAAGAAGTAAGTTGTTATAGGAAAACATGGGAAGATTAGATCCCATGATATTGAACCAAGGCTTTACAAAATACTTATTTGAGCTTGAATTTGAAGGTTGAACAGGAGTTTGCCAGGGAGAGAAAGAGGAAGCTAGGGAGAATGACCATTATTGAATTGAATTTCTGTTCATTAAGAAATTTACATTCATCATTTATAAATGAAGCCCTATGCCCAGCAAGCTTCTACTAAGGAATTATCAGGTGTTCAGAAATGGGCTCTACCAGTAGTTCTAAATCAGGATGAATGAAACCCCCTTTTGAAGTGTTTGGGGGAATATTTGAGTATGGTTTTGGTTTTCCAAATGATTTTTGTATGTGTGCTATGGACACTTAGTGTCACAGGGAGAGAGACACTGAGAGCCCTGAAAGGAAGAAGGCAAGGAATGATGAATTGTTAGAGACATAGTAAGGCTTCTAGCAATAATAAGACATGAATCCAGAGGGGTAGACAGGATCAAGGTCAAGAAGGACCTGAAGAACTAGGCATGGTGGCACCCATCTCTAAAAGTCAAAGAAAAAGAAAGAGGGAAGCCTAAGGAGATAGCAAAGTGGCTCAGAGTACTCGCCTAGAATGGGCAAGGCTCTGTGCACCATCCCAAGCACCAGAGAATGGCAGGATAAAGGCAAAGATGGGCTTGGGAAGGGCCTAGTGGGAAAATAAGCATCTGGAGATAAACTGGGCTGTGTGAAGTAGTCCCAGAGCAGACTCTTCATGAGCCATTCATGCTGTGTGTAACGATCTCTACTGATCCAGTGCTCTGTGTTGCTACTGAGCTTCAGACTGCAGCAGAATGCAAATACACCATGATAGAAAATGGGAAGTGGACTTTGGATATGACTCAATGTCTTCTTGGGGATTTTGTTCTGATCTGCACATAGCATTATTATTATTGATCTTGTCTTTCCTCTCTCTTTGTTCTCACACCCCTTTGGCTCTCTACCTCTCTCACCTTCTTTCCCTTCCTTTCCACAAACCCCCACTTTCCTCCCTTTCCTGTGTGTCCACAGAAAATGATGAAGAAGGAAGCTCTCCTCCTCATCCCCAATGTCCTGAAGGTTTTTCTAGAAAATGGGCAGATCAAGTCATTCACATTTGATGGCCGGACCACGGTTAAGGTACGTAGGGAGACCCCTCACCTAGAGTAGCTGTTTGTGTCCCTTTGAGATTGCACACAGTGGCTTCACTGACTGCTGGGACAAGATTACCTTTGATCTGTGCTCTGAAGTGTGAGGCTGCAAAAATGTAACCCTCGGCTGAGGCCGGCAGTAGAAAATTGCATGCCCAGCTGTGTGCTAAATAGTGTAAAAAAACATGTGTGTGTGCATGCACACACGTGCACATGAATGCATATCTGCTTGTCAACTACTTTGTGTTCATACTACACTGGGTCCTTCAGGACTCTTGGGAGCTAAGCCATGTGAAGATCATTAAATCATTTATAAAGCCAACATGATCTATACTGATACAATAACACCTACGCAAGTTTACACACCAAAATAAACAAATGTGATCTCTTGGGAGATTAGCTTACCCTGTCTTGCTTTTTAAACAACAACCAAAATCTTAGGCACTGAAGCAAGATTTGAGAAGTCCAGCCATAGCCCTTTGGCTATTCTTTTCACAGGAAGAGCAATTACTGAACTGTGATTCTTAACAGTTCAGCCAGGCGTCAAGAAGTCCTAGTGATTCTCTTAGTCCTGAAGAGTAGAGGTGGTGATGCAATTTTACCCTGAGGTTCACTCTGCACTGGGACAGAAATATCTATCCCTGATTCTTCTGGACTCTTGCTGGGAGAATACCATCCCAGGGATGAATGTTCTTATACAACCAGTGCTTCTCAGATTGTTGGGCAGTCACGACATCTGCCCAGGAAAATTACCTTGCCCACAGCTGTCCTGCGGCTCCCATGCAAGAGCCAAGATAACTTTACAAATAAAGAATCCATCAGGCATGGGGACACAAGCCTGTAAACCTATTACTCTGGAGACTAAATACAGAAAATACAGGTTCAAGGCCAGTCTGTGCTACAAGGAGAAACCTTGTTCAGAGGAACAAGGTGTTCAGAATGGCCTTCCCAGTATTTTTCTACTAGAGTTTACAGATTGTTCATGTATTGGTTTGAGGAATATCTAAAAGTATTTTGGGATCATCCCATGGTATGTCATGCTACTGGCATTTAGTCTCTCAAGGTCAGAGATGTTAAGTGTCCTCCAGGAGACAGAATAGTCCCTGAAATCATTGTCCTACCCAAAGTTTCTTTGGAAAGCTTAGGCCTAGGTAGGTATCTCTAAGGAGCCTAAGACCCAAGTGTCTTAGGAAGCTATGGCACCGTCTCGGCTATGGAGTGTCTTGGAAATGTTGAGACAGAACTAGACCACCTAGATGCCAGAATCTTCCTTGGCATTTCTTCTGGTGTTAGTATACTCATTGTAGATTTGTCAATAGCCCAGAGCACTGGCCAACCTCTCTTCCTCTTAGAGGTTTCGAGCACTCCCTACCTCTCACTGCCACTACCGATGTGGCATCCAGGCAGGGCCAACCTTTGACACTCAGGCTCACTCTGCACCTCAGGAAAGGTGCATGGCTAGTTATTAGAACCCTGATAGCCTTTCAAGCCACTTGTGGCAAAGAGGTACCTGGATGAAGTGACAGTCTCACATAGTGGCAGTTACACCTTTAACACCAGTTGACAACAAGTGGCTTGGCTGTCCACAATCTCAATGTCACTTAACCGCAAAGAAATCCGCGTCTATCTGTACCAGGGTTCTAGTGATGCTCAAGCCTCTGTGACTGAGTGAATAGCACACAGAAATCTTCTCAAATGCCCAGCACTTTGCGGTCCTTTGCTCAAGCATCTCACATAGAGGGGATACTTTGGCAGTTCTGTCCGTCGGAGAGTTCTGAACTCCCCAGCCTGCTTCCCTCCAGGTTTTGAGGGTTAAGGCATGCTGACTTTGTAAACGTACACACCGCAGTATGTATGCTGAAGCCACAGCAAATAGATGGCAGACGCCCCAAAGCTGACATTTGGGCAGCCCCCACCAATATGCTCTCAGACGCCCTAGTATTAAAAGTAGGGCAGCAGAGCAGACGGAGCTCAAAAGTAGTCAGATCTATGACTGTACTCCAGACACGTGGCATTGTTCCTCTTTGTGGACACATTTTTCAAGTTGCTAAATTGATCGTCTATAAAAGCTAGCTATGGCCAAAAATGAACATTTTGCCAGTAGCTCAAGCCATTTGATTTAGATTATGAATCCGGAAATAGTATACTTTTTATCACCGAAATGTGGCTTTGGCTTTGGCTTTTGCTTATTCCTAAGAGTTGACAGACAAACCCAAATGAAAATTCTGACTTAAGAGAGGGGAGAGGAAAACCAACACAGTGCTTGAACGCCACAAGCATTCAGGACATGCGTTCTCGAATAGAGGGAAAGACAGAATAGGAGGAGGGAGGGATGAGGCAACGGGACAGTAGGAGGAGGGAAACGTCACTTACCAGGAGTCTGACCAGACGAAATGCGGGGACACATACATTCACCTCCTGAACCTTTGGTGTTCCCCAGGGCCCATGCCACAGGACAACACGCATAAGGCCTTTCACTCGTCCCAGAACTTATATCTGGGCCAACCCGAAGCCTTTTCCACAGGACTATTGTGCTTGATTTCCAATATTTTCTCATTTATTTTTTTAATTCCCAGTTTTTCCTCATGTATTCATTACTTTGAGTAACTTAGAGTCAGAAAAGACGCCCCCTCTCAAGGCTTTTTCTTCTACAGGATGTGATGGTGACCTTACAGGACCGTCTCTCCCTGAGATACATTGAGCATTTTGCTCTTGTCCTTGAGTATACTGGGCCGGAACAGAATCACAAGTTCCTGATTCTCCAGGATAAGCAGCCCCTGGCTTATGTAAGTCACCCCTTTATCCTGGCTGTGTTGCTACATGTAACCAGTGCTAGATAAGAGTGCCCATGACGCTGCTTAACTAGAAAATTCATCATGGTGTGGTCAATCAGCTCTCAGAAGCCACAGTTCCAATCTCAGGTGGAATGTGCGTATGTATATGTCTGTATGTAGGTATTTATGTATGTATATGTATTATGTGTGCATATGTGTATATGTGTGTGTGCAAGTATATGTGAATGCATGCATATATGTGTGTATGTGTATGTATGTGCTTATATGTATATGTGTTTATGTGTGTGTGTGTGTGTACTGCTGTGAGTAGAACCAAAAGACTTGAATATCACTGTTCCTCTGAGTGACAGTCCAGCCTTACCTGAGGGGCTTACTATTCATCTCCAGAGAACCTTTGACAATGCCTGTTGTGACCTAACAAAGGCATTTGTCTCGGTCTCTATTGGCAACTCTCCTGTTTCCTGGAAACACTGCCTGCTAACCACTTCTGCTTTCTAAGAAGAAAATTGACCTCTTAGATGAGGACCATGATACAAAAAGGTCAGAACTAGACTCAGTGGTAGTTGGGAATTAACTGTGTAGGGTCAAGAATAGGTAGCACATCATCTTCATCATCTTCCAAAGTAGAGGAGGACAAACTAGCTCATCCTTCTGGCCACACTGTATGGGAAAAGACTATTTAAAATAGGATTGTTATATGGGATGCCACCCATATCAAATGACCAGGGAGCATCAGAGAGGTGAGCAGGGCCACTCAGCATTCCCTGGTAGGGTAGAAAAGAGCTGAAGGGGGACAGTTAGGAAAAAATAGCTTTTAGAAAGTGTATGGAAGCCAAACAAACCTCATAAAACCCAGACCAGCAAGATAGCATACTTCTGGAATCTAGTACATAAGAAGTTGAGGCAGGAGGATCTGGAAGGTCAGCCTGGACTACATAAAGAGTACTGTTGTAACTTGGGCTACAAAGCAAAGAAACAAGGCTGGCGATGAAGCTTGTTAATACAATATTTAGCCAGCATATTTCAGACCCTTTTGATCCCTATTGCTGTATAAGCTGGGTCACAGTGATGCGCACCCGTAATCCCAACCCTTGGAGGTAGAGACAGGAGGATCAGAAATTCAAAGTCATCCTTGATTAAATAACAAATTTGAGTGCAAGGCCAGCCTTAGGTACAGGAGACACTGTCTCAAACAAACAAATCAGATGCACACAGAAAAGAAAGCAGTTTTCAAAGGAAACATTCACGTTTCAGCTCAAATACAATCCGGGTAGGAAAGGAAAGGTGGTATCTGCCTAGAGTTAAAGCACCTCCTATCCTAGCCAAGAAACAAACCTCTGAGTCAAATGGGCTGCTTGTGCCAAATGGAATTTCAAACTTCTTTATTATGAAAAATTTTCAGACAGACACAATATATATGGCATTAATTCTATGGTTTCTCTTCACCCTCTCCCCCTGGGGTTTTAGGTGGTACAGAGGACACACTATCATGGGATGAAATGCCTCTTCCGAATAAGCTTCTTTCCCAAAGACCCCGTGGAGCTGCTGCGTCGGGATCCTGCTGCTTTCGAGTATCTATACATCCAGGTAGAGTCTGGCTTGGGGACACAAAGATAGACCAGTGGAGAAACAGCAGGCAGGCTGTTCTGCCATCACAATGGAGTTGCTATGTATGTTCAACCTTCAGCTTGCTCTGAAGGCCCGCTCCTTTCTTGCTCCTATTGGAGTTCATTGTGTCAAGCTGGCTGATTTGAATTTGACTGTCAAAGTACTGTCTACTTGTCCACCAGAGCCCAATAGTTTTCAGAAATGAGCAACCCAAGGAACTCTGGTGCTTCCACAGAATCCCAAGGTTTTACAAGCTCTTTTGGGTTCCATGAACTGTCAACCACCAATACCTAGGTTCAGTGAGGAGGTGGTTCTGATCTCACTCCATCCAGAAATATTTATTGAACCCATACCCTGGGTCCTGACGATCAGAGGGGCAGAAAGGATAGACTTTGCTCACCAGAGTTCATATATTCGTAAATAGAACTACAACAGGTTTCAGTGTCCATAATGACACCCAGGGAGCAGTCTGCCAGCCCTGCCTGAGAGAAAGACAGTGAAGGCTTCACAGAGGAGAAGATCTGTGTACACTCTTAGCTGTGTAGAATGAGTAGATGTTTGCTACACAGTAAGATGGAAAAGAGGGGTCATATCCCAAGCAAGAGCCCTTGCGTTTTCAACGGCATGCTGATGAGAAAAAAATGCAAGTGATTTTTGCAACTTCAGTACAGGATGTAATGTGTAAGAAGCAATAGAAAATGAAATTGGAGAGCTGGTAACCAGAGAGTGAATTCTTGGTAGGCCACGGAGAGCAGACTTGATTCCGGAAGCTGGGCAGTGTTTCTCAGAATGTGGACCCTGAACCAACAGCATCATTAACTGGAAACTTGTTAGAGATGCAGATTCTTGGGCCTTATACCAATGATTTCTTTTAACAAGCTCAATGAGATTAAAACAAAACAACAGAGTCTCATGTAGCTCAGGCAGACCCCAAATGAACTATGTACCTTAAGGATAACCTTGAGCCTCTGATTCTCCCACCATCAACTTCCAGGTACTGGACTTATAGACAGGTATCACCAACCACATCCAGGTCTCCATGAGAGCTGAAACCCTCCACCTCATGCCAAAGCTTTGGAGACAGTGGAACCACTTCAGAACAGTGGTTCCTTAACCCTACCTGAACATCGGAACTATCTGGGAGGGGCCTGGCAAAATGGCTTGGTGGTTAAGAGCATTGGCTGCTCTTTGAAGAAAGCTGGATTCAATTCCTAGTACCCACATGGTTTCACAACCATCTGTAACACCACTTCCAGGGGACCTAAGGCCTAGGCGTGTATATGGTATACAGACAATTACATAGGCAAACACACACACATAAAATAATTTCTTAAAAAATGAACTATCTAAAAGGCTTTTTTTACAATTATCTAGGAAAAAAATCTATTTTGCCTCACCCCAAGTCTGGGAGTTTGTGTTTTTCTAATTATCTCAACTTATTCTAAAGTGCATTCAAGGTAAAGAAATTCTGCTGAGGAGTGGGTAAGAGTGCCAAAAGGAGAGTCACCTGGTCATTAGCCAAAGGAAAAGTGATGCCCAAAGTCAGGCTTGTGAATGATGCGGTATTTGGAGTGGGATTCCAGAGAGATGAAAAGGTTTGGATTGGCTGAGTATTGGTAGAGATGGTATCAGTCTTCACATTGGCGAATAAAGAGTGTCATGAGCTTGGAGACAGGATAAGTTCATTTTAGGCCATGTTGGCTTTTAGGTACCCACAGGACATATGCAGTCCTTGTTGAGAAAAAGAAAAAAGAAATAAAAAACCAAACTTCTCTGTTTCCGAGAGTGACACCTGGGACTGCAATGAGAGACACTGCAGTTGTCCTTTCTGCCCTTTCTGACAACCTAAAATGCTAGGAACATTTCTCAGCCTCGTGTTCCTCGGCCAAACCTCTAGGGGGACAATGGGTTGTGTGGTTTTTAGTTTAGTTCTCATTTTGTTTGTCCTGAATTTCTTCACTCAAACTTCTGGGGATTGCCTCAGTTCTCATATTTTGGAATTTGATGATAAGATCGTGCCCGGCATATTTCTCCACTTTGTGATAATATGAACTTCATCTGGATTATTCCTTTTTTAAAAAATCAGTTTTTTGATTTTTGCTTTTTTTTTAAACTGAAGTCTAATTGACACATAACAAACTGCACATGTTCAAAGTGAATACTACAATAAATTGTCACCCACAGCCACCAAAACAATCAAAATATTGAACATATTCAATATTCCTTTGGCTCCTTTGTGATTTCTGGCTTTCTGTCACTATAGATTTGTTTTCCTTTCCAAGAGTTTATGTAAATTAAACCATACGATACGTATATTTATTTTGAACTGGCTGGTTTTCCTCAGGTTTATTTGGGTTTTTGTTTTGTTTTGTTGTTTTGGTTTGGTTTGTATTTTCAAGACAGGGTTTCTCTGTGTAGCTTTGTAGCCTGTCCTGGACTCACTCTGTAGACCGGGCTGGCCTCAGACTCACAGAGATCCACCTGCCTCTGCCTCCCAAGTGCTGGGATTAAAGGTGTGCACCACCACATCCCAGTCATTTTTCTTGTTGAGTAGTATTCACAGAACCAGAATTGGTTACACATGTTGATGGGCACTTGGGGTACTTCCAGATTTGTGCAATTACAAATGAGATTTCTATAAGTATTCATGCCCAAGTTTTCGCATAGATGTGAGCTTTCTTTGCTCTTGAGTAAATAACTAATGGTTTGATTGTTTTCTAAAAGAAATTCTAATGCTATTTTCCAAAGTGGTTGTACCATCTAACATTCCTATCCATCACATATTACATTTTAGCTTCTCCAGTCTTATCGACTCTTGGTGTAGTCAGCCTTTTTTTTCACCCTCACCATTCTATTATTGTATAGCACTGTCTCTTTAAGGCTTCCATTTCCATTTTCCTAGGTCACTAGTGGTGTTGGACAATTTTTCATGTGTTCACTGTTGTGTGTCTTCCGTGATGAAATGTCTGTCCAAATCATCTGCCTGCCTTTTTATTGGGTTATTTGTTTTCTTATTATCAAGTTTTGAGAGTTCTTTATGTATTCTGGAAACAAGTCATTTGTTGGATATGTTATTTGCAATTATTTCCTCCCAGTCTGTGTCTGGCCTTTTTGGTCTCTAAACAGTGTCTTTCTCAGAGCAGATGTTTGAATTTTGATGAAGTCCAGTTTGTTAATCTTTTCTTTTACAGATAGCATTTCTGGTATCATATCTAGGATATATCAGTCTATCCAGTATATCTGTGTATATTCGTGCATGTGTGTGTGCGCATGTGTGTGTGCATGTTGGCATATAGATATAGACACTCATTGAAAAGCCTATTCTTTCCTCACTGAATTGTCTTCATATTTTTATTACAAAGCAGTCTGTGTAAGTAATAAAACATCTAGATCTAGTGGGAAAGCAGTTGTCAGTCTATCTGTAGTCTATTTCTGAACCTCTATTCCATTCTGTTGATCTGCCAGTCTAGCCCAATGCCAACCACACACTATTGATAACTAGAGCTTTATAATAAGTCTTAAAATCAAGTAGTGTTTGTCCCCGACTTCATTCTTCCTTTGAAAAATTGTTTTCATTCTAGGTCCTCTGCATTTTTCATAGGAATTATAGAATCAGCCTGTCAATTTTTACTAAAAATCCTACCATGATTCAGATTGGAATTGTGCAGAGTCTGTAGATTGATTAAGGGAGAATTGATTTGTTAACAATACTGAGTCTTCCAGCCCATGAGCAAAGTATTTTTACATTGATCGAGGTCTTTCATTTTCTTCAGCAGTGTTTTATAAGTTTTTAATGTATAATTTTACATATTTTGTCACATTTATCCCTAATTATTTCTTATTTTGATGCCATAATAAATGATTTTCATCTTTATTGCTGCTGTTGCTGCTGCTGTTTTTGAGACATAGTCTAATTCTATATAACTCAGGCTGGTCTGGAGCTGTGTAGCCCAGGCTAGTACTGAACTAGTGAGCCATCTTCCTACCTTGGCCTCAAAAGTACCAGGATTATAGGTATGAGCCACCATACTCAGCAATGATTTTAGATTTGTAATTCAATTGTCCATTGGTATCATATAGAAATACATTTTTACAGTGATTTTTATGCCTTGCAACTTTGCTGTACTCAATGAATAGTTTTCATGGATTTTTGTAGATTTTACTGGATTTTCTGTATAGATAAACACTAAGTGTTCATGTTCTTCTCATCCCCCCCCCCCACACTTTTGATACAGTCTTGATCTATAGACAAGGTCAGCCTAAAACTCACAGTGTAGCCCAGGCTGGCCTTCCAATTCTCAGGCCTCTGCCTCCAGAGTAGATTTATTTAGAGTTGTGAGGCCACCACTCTTGGCTGAAGGATCCTTTTTCTGTTCTTTTCCTTTGCTAGAGTGATACCACTGTGACTGCCTAGTCCCAGGGCCCATTGTGATACAACCTCAAGCAAAGGACAACTGTTCAAATGAAGGTGGAGTCCTTGCTAGCTGGGGTGCTGGCCTTAGAGTATGGAAGGTTATCATACTCTTGACTATCACTTACAAAGTATTCCCTCTAGGGCAGCAAAATGTTTTTGCCCTTTGGATCTTAAGGAACAGAATGTCTGCTCTATCCCTGCAAGCTATCTCTCACCCTGGGCTTCTGGAACAGAGTCCCACAGAGAGCCTCTCCCATTGTCTTTCTTTCCTTATTCTCATCTGGACTATTAGAAGAGTCTGGTATGGCTAGTAGTTGAGTACGGAACCCCCACCCCTGAAGGGTGATATTTCTCTTATAACAGAAGAAAGAAAGGGAATGAACCAGGTCTCACTTGCACAGTAACCCGGAGTTTTCTGCCCACTGTGTCTTTTTGTTGTGTGACCTGCCACTGAGAAGAGCATCTAATATTTGCTGAAACAAGCACGTAGTGTCTCTGTGACCCAAGGCTCCCATGTTGTCTCTTCCCTAAGGGCAGTAGCCCTCTCTTTCACTTGAATCATTATGTCTTGCTGGTGGCGTGATTCTTTTCTGGGATCCAAAGGCATAGCTGAGGAGTAGAGAAAGAAGCGATGTCTCCTTTAACTGATGGATTCGGTCTGCCCTCTCTCACAGAGTCGTAATGATGTTATCCGAGAACGCTTTGGAATGGAACCCAAGCCAGAGATGCTTTTGGACCTTGCTGCCCTTCACATCTATATCACTGTCTCAGCTACTCGGCCTAGTCAGAAGATCACACTCAAGAACGTGGAGTGAGTTATGAAAGGGCCCTCCTGGAGGGGACAAATTGCTGTCCATAAGAAGGTGCAGTTGTTGAGCTCTGCTCTGCTTTTCAAGGTCATAGCCATCCTACGGGGGTAAGAACTTGAATTCCTGATGCCTAACCCCCCATGCTTTCAAGCTATGGTTTCTACCGGTAGGGTATGCATGGCCACAGTTTGCCTGTCCTTCCCCTTCTTTCTCTTTTTCCTAGTCCGTTTCTCCATCTCTGCCTCTTGGAGTTACTCAGGTTCTTTCTGACCATCTCCCTCCCTCGTTCCCACTTTGTCTCTCTCACTAATCTCTTGCTCTTCTTCTGTTTTTAGGAAGGAGTGGGGCCTGGAACCCTTTCTTCCCCCCTCCCTCCTGCAGGGCATCAAAGAGAAGAACCTTCGGAAGTCTCTCTCTCAACAACTGAAGGCCCACCAAATGCATCCTTCTTGCAGCACCAAGGTACCCACCCAGAGGAGGCCATCGGGCACCACGTTTAAACTCTAGAGGCCTCAGAGGGGTCCTGAGTGGTACCCTGGGGGTTTTGAGCACTCTTCCTATTTGGGTGCACACTGAGCCATTCCTTCTTGGGTGCACACCCCATCATTCTTCCTGACTTGGGTACACATCTTGGGTGACCAGGTGTGAGGCAGCTATGCAAAGGAGTTTGCTCCAAACTCAAACATTACCCAAATAGCCTTAGCAACACATCACTGCAAGCCACTGTGTCCTCAAAACAAAGGAGCTATAAAGACAGTCGTGCTTGGGGTCTTTCGCCAATTAGCCCTAATGGAGCACCTGTCCTGTGAAAGGCATTGGCTCCTAAGAGAGGCACAGATTTTCCATGAGTGTGACTGCTCTATCCCTCACGAGATTCCTAATCTGTCAGTCCTAAAACAGAGAATCTTAGGAGATGAAGGTGCAACGCAGAGCTGGGCTGTCTTCTGAATACTAGGAGGCAGCAGTCTTTACCTCGGAGAGGCTTCCCTCCCCACCTCCCCTGGCCCTGCTGGGCCTTCTTAGGCTGCTAAGATACCATCTGCTTGTGCTTCCTGCCCAAGAGGCTGGAGGATGGTGACAAATACTAGAATCAGCATGCAGATGTAGACAGGAGACACAATCACCCTATATACGCCACCCATTCCAGATTTCTTGAATTACCAACTAGCTTCCCTTTTAAGATGCAAATGTCCCCAGAGAGCTAAGCCATTCCCACCTTACTTGCATGCTTAATCAGATTGGTTTTTTTTTTTTCTTGGCTGAGAGCACCAGTGCTCACCACCACATCTCCACAGCAAAGGTTTTTTTTTTTTTTTTCTATGCACCCCAGTGCTTTGCTGAAGAAAGCCTGGCTTTAGCCCTTGAGTCGGGCACAGTCAAGCAGGGAAATAAAACCATAATTCCCAACCCAAAGCAGCAGGCACTGGTACTCAAGTATTCAGGAGAGACAGATGCCAAGCCCAAGCTAGGAGAGGAAGAACTGGTATATTTAGTGCCAGAGCTGAGACGTGAAAGATAGACACATAAGAGCTTGTCTAGATGAATTGCTAGAAGCAGTCCTAAGAGGAAGACTTCCCTCCACCAGGAGATCTCTCTCTATGTATAAGCCAGCCAGGTGAGCCATGGTAGCAGGGGAAAGGACATAAACCGTTCAGCCTATGCAAAGCCACAGAATATGAGACACAAATCTAGCAGAGGCAGAGACAGGAGAGTGGCAGGAACCAGTTCTTTCTGTGAGGGCTTTCTGTGTCCCAGGAAGGGGCTGCACACAATCCTATAGACAGCAAGGAGCCATGGAGGAGTTGAAGCAGGAAACTGGCGTGATTAAATTTACTGTGTTTCAGGATGTTACCACTAACAAACACTGGGTGTATATAACTGAGGGGACGAAGCTGAGTACCCAAAGCCCTGATATAGGAAGGAATGTCAAAGAAACGGTATAAGGCAAAAGAAATAGGTAGATCCATTCAAGAGGAAGTCAGGGGGTAAAATAAATATGATTTGGTGACTGATGGCACTCAGATGACAGGATGAAGGGAGAGTCCTGTGTCCCTCACAGGTTTCTAGCTCAGTTGCCCCAGACATGCTGGCGGAGACCTGGAAGCCCAGATGAAGAACAAGCTTGGGACTTGGGGGTGTTCAGTATGAAAGCACCAACTGGTACCCCATGATTGCATGTGGCAATATCAGTGAGACTCTAAGGATCTGAAGGAACTTAGGAGAGGTACATAGAGTAAGTGGATGTCAGAGTTTGCGGAAAGGGGCTTGAATTACTGCAAGACCAACAGATTCGAATGCTACTTTAGGTATTGGGACCAAGAGGTCAGAGGAGTGCTTGGGGAGGTAGGTGGAACGCTGAAGGTGAGAGCCATCCGAGCGGGAACTTCCTTCCAGCTTTATCCAGGCCTTTCTCATTTCCATGGAGTAGGCTGATGACTAGCTCCTGCCGTAAGACCTTGAGCCTCCACTTTGAGGATGTGGGATGTTTCTCTCTGCTCCTCTGGATTCTTATTTCAAGGTGGGTTGTTTCCACAGGGCTCCGCCGTTCAAGCAAAGCTCCAGTACCTTCGAATTCTGAATGAACTTCCGACCTTCACTGGTGTTTTATTCAACACTGTAGGACTGGTCAGTGGGACGAAGGGATTCGGGGAGGGGCAGAGCGTGGGGCCAAGGGGAGGGAACCAGCCCTTTATTGGAGGGACAAAATCAGTTAGCTTTCATATTCAAAGCATCCACTACATCCATGGGTTCAACCAAGTGTAGATCAAAAATAGTCTAAGAAAAAAAAACTGTGTTGTACTGAGCATGTACAGACATTTTTCTTGCCATTATTCTCTAGACATAATAGTATAACAACTATTTATGCAGTATTGGCGCTATGTTAGGTATTGTAAGAATTCTGAGATGATTTAAAGCATACATTAGGGTCAGATATGACAGTGCATGCTTGTAATCCCAGCACTCTAGAGGCTGAAGAACAAGGATCACAAGTTCAAGATCGAGGCCATTCCTGCATATATAAGACCCTTTCTAAGAAGTACACAAGAATATCCATGCAAACGATATACAAATGTTATGTCCTTTTATGTAGGAACTAAGCACCCATGGATTTTGGTATCTACAACAGAGTCCTGAAAGCAGTCCCCTATAGATAATGGGGGTCAACTCCATCTACTTTCAGTGCCCATTATCAATCCTTTTGTTCCCCTTCCCAATATTCCAGGGTTTGACAACCCATGTCTGTAGAGGGCCAGATAGAAAATATGCTTGCCTTTTGTTGGTAGATCAAACGGATCTCGGTAGCAGCCAGTCAGCACTGCTGTGTTAGCATGAGAACAACCACAGCGTGTTAACAAATGGGTGTTACACCCTGCCAATAACTATTTAGAGACACAGAAATTTGAATTTCAAAGAATTTCCATGTGTCAAAAATATGGCTCTTTTGACTTCTTTCCAACTTGTAAAAATGTTCTAAGTTTTCATTTTTCACCATTGAGGTGTTTGAAACAGGTGAGGGGCCATATTTGGCCCGTGGGCCAGAGTTTGCCAACCCCAACCCTGTTTGTTTGCCTCTACGTGTACACAACTCCCATAGTCCCCTAGCCCCGGTTTCCCATCTCTCCATACTACCCCCTGCCTACTCAGGACCTGCACTGCACCGTGATGCTCTGGGCTAAGGCTCAGCTGGCACCGTCCCTAAGACTGCTCCAGTCCAGTTGCCTCTGGTAGAAGGAAATTCAAATCATCTTGCTGATTGGCTTCAGGTGCTTGTCATGCCCTGTGGAACACGCTGGCGTGCTAGCACGCACACTGGAGAAAATCTGCTTATCACAGTGCCTGTAGGCAGACATAAGCGGTTCCCGGGTGATGTTAATAGCAGGCAGTGGGTCAGCGGAAGGCTCAGGTTTGATGACTTCAAGGAGTTTGTCCGCCCCATTTAAGGGAATCTGGCCTGTCAGACCTCGAAGCAGCCATTTATACACTGGGATTTGGAGACCACTGAAAGCCCCCTGGCCCCTCCCTCCACCCCCACACACACCCTGAAATCTCTCTTCCACCAGCCTGACATTGCTCAAATGCCTATTGGTCGTTCCTTTGAGTCAAGGCTGCTGGAGTACCTATTAAAGGGTAAATCTAGGGAGCCCTTCATTAAGCACCTAAACAACCCTGCATGCCTTAGGCAAAGTTATTTTTTCACTATGGCTTTGGCACTGGGTGAGAAGTGCAAGTTGGTGGAGGGTGGGTAAAAGCCAGACATAATGCTGCCTAGTCAGGCAAAAGCACTGGCTAAGAGTTTTGGATGGCTTTCAACAACTGTGAAAAGTACCTTGGTACTTGATAAGGGAGAGTTCTCCAAAAGCACCAGAAAGAACATACTTCACCTACCTCACAATTTTGTTAGAGCCAGCCCTGATGCTGCTCAGTTAACTTATTGCTATAGCTAAGGGGTGATTTAGGCTGAGGATCTAGGATCCTGTACCAGGGAGGTTCCAGACTGTTTTCCTCTCAAGGTTGCGGTTTTTAACCTTGGCACTGAACCTCAGGTATTTCTCCTCCCTTCCCCTACTCCTCACGTACTCCAGCAGAACCTACATAATACATATTTTCTCTTCTTCACTGCCTCTTCTCCCTGGTCCTTCTCTCCAAATCTGTCTGTGAATGTTGTCTGCCTGGCACACTTGGGCACTAGGACGAGAAGCAGCCAGCCACCACTCTCCTGGTGGGACCCCGTCACGGCATCAGCCATGTTATTGACCTCAAGACCAACCTCACCACTGTGCTGTCCGAGTTCAGCAAGATCAGCAAGATCCAGCTGTTCCGGGAGAACCAGGGCGTGGCCCGAGTGGAGACCAGCATCATGGATGCCAAGGTGAGCGCTTCTTTGAGGTGCCGCTTCTTTCCAGAACAGCCCTGGGGAACATGGAAAGAGTTGGAGCATGTGATTTGAGGCTCAGAGATTCTGAAATGACTTCTCCATAGAACTCTTTGTCTTCATATTTCCCTTCTCCACCTTCTAGGACTTAGATAATCTAAAATGGTTTGTCAGCACGCCTTAGCTACTGTTCTATTGTTGTCATTAAGATAGCACGACCAAGAAAACTTATAAAACAATGTGTTTACTTGTCACTTACAGTTTCCGAGGGTTAGAGTCCATGACAGTCATGGCATGGAGCATGGCGACAGACAGGCAGGCATGGCACTGACCCAGTAACTGAGTGCTCACATCTTGAGACACAAGTAGAAGGCAGGAAGAGCTAACTGGGAATGATATGGGCTTTTGAAACTTCGAAACCCACCCCTAGTGACACACCTCCTCCAAGAAGTTCATACCTTCTAATCCTTCCCAAACAGCACTATCAGTTGGAGATGTCGAGGTATTCAAACATATGAACCTATGGAGACCATTCTCATTGCAACTACCATGCAGCACTATGTAGGGCTAGGAAGTGTTGGGTTAACCTGAGTAGGTTCTTGGCAGAGAACAGGAGCCCAGGAGCTACCTAACCCATCGTTTCACAATTATTCTTGTCATAGCACACACAAAAATTTGAATTTATGGGTATCATGGTGACTTGTAATTCCAGTATTCAAAAAGTTGAGGCAGGAGCATTACTGCCTACATGGTGATTACAAGTTCAGCCTAGGCTATACAGTTAGCTCCTATCTCAAATATTAAAAAAAATAATTATAAAATCCATACAGCTGCGTATGGTGTTGCAACCCTGTCTGTATTCATAGCCACTTGGTAGGCCGAGAGGAAGATTAAATTTCACAGCATGCTTTGGCTACACAGGGAATGAGTCCTTGTCTCAAAATATGTGTGTGTGTGTCCAGTGTATACAGGTGTATGCGCACATGCAAGTGGAGTCCAGAGGTGTCTTCCTCAGGTGCTCTCGACCTTACTTTTTGAGACAGGCCCATTTTTGTCTCGACTGGCTAGGCTGGCTGAGCAGCAAGGCCTCCTAGATTCTCCTTCTCAGCACTTGGATTGCAGGTGCATTGCTATCCCACCCTGTTTGTTTACGTGGATGTTTATGTTTGTTTACATTGGTACCTAGGTTCTCCTGCTTGCAGTTTGCTCCCTGGGCCATCCTCCCAGCCCTTGGGGGGAAACGGGAGCTCACAGCTGGTGAGGAAGCTCAGTAATAGAGCACTTCATTGGCATGGGCAAGACCCTAGATCCCATCCCTAGCATTGCAAAATGTCAACAAAGGACATCGCACTCACGTGGAACTTCAAGCTAAATGGAGCAGCCTTAGAGGGAGACTCTGGCCCTGTCTGTCTGCCTCAGAGATTAAAGAAATGAATGACTTAACCCATCTCTGCCCATCCCACCTGTATATTGGTTGGGGAACATCCACTTTGAGCTATGTAAGAGGTGTGTCTGTGCATGGACAGTGGTTCTGGGGAGTGGGGGGGACAATTAGAGCCGACGTGCCATCTCATCTCCCAGAGTCCAGCTTTCCTAGAACCTCAGAACCTTCCCCATAGATCAACACCTTCAGACTGGCAAAGCAGCCGTCACAGAAGTCTGGTAGCCATGACCAGCCACCCCCTCCACAGTTCTCCTGTTTGAATACAGTGACCAGTGTGGGCAGGGGGCAGGCCTTCCTGCCAGCTGGCAGAGGCTCTCTCGGTGGGAGGTACAGCTTTCCCTTCTTAAAGGATTTCCCAGAAGGATGCGTAGTTAACAGATTAAGCAGTGGAGTGTTTTGCTGTTTCTAAAAGAACCAATTACTTATTTTTGTGTTTGTAAAACCCAGGAAGCTTTAATATGCTAATCTTTCCACCTGTGATCCGTGGGATTCTCCTTGGTTTGGGGACCGGCCTGGTGCTGATGTTTAATTGGGTTGTGGCCACTTTCCCAACCACTGGTTGCTACTCTCCTCCGATGTGGTCGGGTAAAAAGCCAAATGAACTGGTAAGGGAAGGGGGAAAAAGGACAAGACTCGCCCAGGGAAGTGTGGGTCACAGAGATATAGACACGGTTTACAGCAGAGAAACAGCTTTTAGCTTTTGTTTTTCAACCTTCAGCATTTCAAGAGTGAGTTTTTCATGTCAGCAGTACAAGAGAAATCCCATGAGAGGTTTTAAACAATAAAGACACCAGGGCCCAACTCTGAAAACTGATGTCCCCCACCTTTTGGAGACAGGATTTCTCTGTGTAGCCCTGGCTGTGCTGGAACTCACGCTATAGACCAGGCTGGCCTTGAACTCACAAGAGATCTGACTACCTCTGCCTCCTGAGTGCTGGGATTAAAGATGTGCACTACCACTGCCTGGCTAAAACTGATGATTTCATTGGTTAGAAGAACTACCTGGGCATGAGGATGTATTTAATTTTTTTTATTTTCTCCAAATGGATATTGTAACACAATGAATTAGAGTGAGCCCAGGTTGAAGACCTACCTATATGATCAGAGGTCTTGGAGGAAAGAGGCTGAGCTAGGCTCAGTATGTTTCTCCCGAGTGAGGAGCACACTGCTTATTTCCAAAAGTGATCCACCCACAGTGGTGAACATGAATGAACATTTCAGAAAAACTACGCTTTTATCAGGGTGACTACAATCACAAGCATGCGTGACCTTCCTTGACACAGCATGAGAACCCCTACACAACTCTGGGATCAGATGAAGTTCACCCTCTCAGGGAAGCTACACACACACACACACACACACACACACACACAAATACAAAACTAAAATACATCTCTTTCTAAAAAAGCAGGATGAAGCAAATGTCATAGATAAATGTGGTATGGAATATGAAATGAAAAGAACGAGAAGGAGTTAACCAGAACTAGCTTCCTCGAGAGGATGTTTTGAGCTGGATCTTGAAGTGATAGGCATGAATTAGCAGAGAGGAGTGGGATGTGTTCAAAGAAAGGCAAGGAGCAAGCACGGAAATAAGCAAGCCATATGTGCAGGTTGATAAGCATAGTCGCTTGGCTGGAGAGGAAAATAAGGAGAGGAGAGATTGGAGAGATTAGGGGCGGGCAGAACAAGTCCGTTAAAAGCCTCCCAGGCCAGTTTGAGGAATTTAGATTCAATGTGGTTGATTAGTAAGAATGTACTGTTGGTCCTTGAGCAGAGGGGTAACAGAATGAAAGCTGATTTGGGCCAGCATGAAAGAAGGGCGGAAGCAAGACAATTGTGAAGCCAAGGAGCAGATGTGCAACATGTGTTGTATTAAGATGGGCATGGCTGGCCCCTCCTGTGTTGCACACAATAAATGCGTTTTCTCTCCTTTCCTTTTTCAGTTTTTCAAGACAGCGTTTCTCTGTAGCTTTGGAACCTGTCCTGGAACTCTCTCTATAGACCAGGCTGAATTTGAACACACAGAGATTCACCTGCCTCTGCCTCCCAAGTGCTAGAATTAAAGGCATGTGCCACCACTGCCTGGCAATGCATGTGTTTTCTTATTCCTCCCCCTGTTGCCTACTGCACTTATCCAACGTGCACTAAATAGCAGTGTTAGGTGTAAAGGACTCTAGCAGGTCAAAGCCAGGTGGTGGTGGCACACACCTTTAATCCCAGCACTCAGGAGGCAGAGGCAGGAGAATCTCTGTGAGTTCGAGGCCAGCCTGGTCTATAGAGTGAGTTCCAGGACAGGTTCCAAAGCAGCACAGAGAAACCCTGTCTCAAAAAAAAAAAAAAAAAAAAAAAAAAAAAAAAAAAAAAAAAAAAAAAAAAAAAGGACTCTAGCAGGTCATGAGTAAGTGGTGAGATGTTGTAAGGAGGCCGCTAGTTAGTTCCCAGCTACTTAATCCCAAAATCATTAAATAAACTGTATTACTTAAATTACTGCTTGGCCCATTAGCTCTAGCTTCTTATTGGCTAACTCTTACATCTTAATTTAACCCATCTCCATTAGTCTGTGTATCACCACAAGGCCGTGGCCTACCAACAAAGTTTCAGCATGCCTGTCTCTGGTGGCAGCTCCGTGGCTTCTCTCTGACTCTGCCCTTCTTTCTCCCAGCGTTTAGTTTAGTTCCCCCCCCCACACACACACCTAAGTTCTGCCCTATCAACAGGCCAAGGCAGTTTCTTTATTCATTAACCAATAAAAGCAGCACATAGACAGAAGGACCTCCCACATCAGTGAGATGACACTACCGTTGAGGATAAATACATTGTGTTTGTTGTCTTGATGAGACATTAAAAGGTAGTTTAGGAGTGAACGGTGACCAATAGTCAGGTGGATGATGAGTGTGCAGAGGTGTAACCAAGCGATAAGGGGTTCAGGTATACCCCCATTAAGAGCAACAGATAATATGTGAAAGAAAACTTCAGAATTAGCCACTTGGTGTCATAATTGTTATACTCTGTAATAGGATTTACCATGTACAATAGGTAGAATAATCCTCTCCTAAATATGTATATTCCATAATCCTCAGAACCTGTGAATATGCTATGACAGAGAGGAATAAAAAGTGCAGACGCAATTAAGATTGCTAATCAACTGACCTTAAAATAGGGAGATTAGCATGAATTATTCAACTAGGACTAATGTAGTCAATAGAGTCAGTCTAAGTGGAACAGACTCTGGAAGTTAGAGAAAGGGATGTGACGAGAGGATTCAGCTCACCCTTGCTAGCCTTCATTAGGGAAGAGACCAAGGACCAAGGAGTGTGGTAACTTCCAGGATCAGGAAAGGGAAGGAATAGATTCAACTCCAGACCACAAAAGTGACACGGTCCTGCACTTGATTTTTAACCCAGTAAAGCTTGTATCAAAACTCTGACCGCCCAGACTGAAAGGAATAAATGTGTATTACTTAAACTACTAAATTTGGAGTCGTGTATTATAGTGACAATAAAAAATCAATGCCATGAGGTTTTTCACATAGCAAGTACTCATATATATTACA